AATCTCTTTCACCTGTAAGAAAGATAAGCTGATTTAGCCAAGAGTACCCACAGCATTCTCTTTTTTTCCTTTGGCTTCTGAGCTTATTTACAGCTAAAACTTGAACCCAATTATAATGAACCGTCTTATCACAGGTTCCCGACACGATGTTCTTCTTTCTCTAAATGCATTCATTGTTTACATCTTGAGCTGTCTCAAAACCTTGGGATTGACTTTGCTTTTCCCAGGTGTCTCTCCTGTAAGCGCCGCACCGTCTCCACCACTCTTGCAAGCACAAATCCCAGCCATCCTTTAAGGTCCAGCAGAGAGTTAGGAGGAATCCGCTCCCCCCAGCCTCGGTGGGTGTCATCTCTGTCCTGCGCGCGCCCTGCCTCTCCCCTGGACATCTGCTACCTGAAACTCCTGCTGCAGCCCAGCAGCCAGGGAGCTCCTGGAAGGCAGGAGTTGGCAGGGACGCTGAAAGCCCAGAAAGTGGGAGCCAGTCTAAGAAGCACCGGACACTGCTACCCATCCTTGCTTTAATTCCTTTAGAACAAAAATAAAACTCCCCCAGCCTGCCAGCCTAGGGGGTGGGGGCAGGTTTCACCGCCAAGTGGACGTCTCCCGCCAGAGCCCAGCCCCGTCTCCAGCTCTCAGCGCACCCAACAGCGGGCGAGCCTGGCTTCTCAGACCCAGCAAGGGGCCAGGAACAAGCAACAAGAATCGGCCCGGGCCGGAAGGCGGCTGCACGGCTGAATCCCCTGCGGTCCTCGCGACTGGCCCCCGCCAAGGCATTTCACCCTGGGCTGACAGAGCCGGGGACCCGGCGGGGCGGGCAGGGCCGAGCGGGCAACCCATGCCCGTGGGTGACAGAGCAAGGCCTCGAACCCGGGTCACCGCTCCCAGGTTAGAAGCTCTTCCCGCCGTGAGCGAGGGTGGCGAGGTCCTCACTCGTCCCGCCTCGGCACCACCTCCCGACTGCCGAAATCTGCGACCCCGGGTCACCAGACGTGGGTCGGGTCTGGGGGCCGCGCTCACCCCCCGCCCCCTGCCCCGCGCCATCTTGGAGCGCTGAGGCGACCGCCCCGAGCCGCCGCTCCAGCGGTTACTCACCCGCACTGCCCGGGGCCAGGCCCCCTGCCACCTCCGCGACTCGCGCCACCGCCAGCAGAAGCAGCAGCGCTCCTCGCACGGAGGCCCGAACGGTCGCCATGTCCGGGCCGGGCGGGTCCGGAGCCGCGGGATGCTCGGACCCAGCCTGGTCGCCGCAAGCCGCTGGCGCCAGGCCCCGCCCCCGGCGCCTGAGGCTCTGGTGATTGGCTGCGGTGCGCGCAAGCCCCGCCCCTGGGCCGCACAGAGTTTCCAAAACCTCCCGGGGGCGGCAACGTGCCCCAGACCCCAGCTCTTTGTTGTGGCCCAGCTGTGGGTCGGCTTCTGTGGTGGTGGTGGTGGGGGGGTCCTCCAAGCCAGCTTCGTCCGTCCAAGCCAGGGTCGGAGGATGTCAGAGCCTGAAGGGGCTTTGGAAGGCCCCTGCCCGCTCCCGAGCTTCACCCCCGACCAGCTCGCCCCTCGAGGAGCAGGGCCCGAAGCAGCGGGCGTCTCTCTCACTGCCCTCAGATTCGCTCTCCACCGCCGGCCGGCGTCCGGCCGCCCTCAAGGCCCAAGGGCTCTGTCGCTGACACGGCCCCCTGACACTCAGCCCCAAAGCTGTTTGGCGCAAGTCGCCTAGGTATGTCTGTCCTGTGCTGTTGAACACCTGTCCGCAGGGAAAACTGTGTGTGTGTGTGTGTGTGTGTGAGTGTGATGTGGAGAGCCGCGAATGGCAGGCTGAGGAGTTGACTTTGAGACACTTTGAAGGCGGGTCCCCACCCAAGGCACCCCAGCGGTTACTGTCAGGAATGTTGCAGAGGGTCCGAGGGCTGCCAAAGCAAATTCATTCCTTTCTCTCTCTGAATTCCTGAATTAATGTCCCTTTCCTCTCTCCTCCCTTTTTAAAAAAAAGCGTAACTGCAGTTACAGTGTTTAAATTCCTCAATATCATTCAATACCCACTGTTCAGTTTCCTTGTTTTAGTATTTCTTTTTGCAATGTTTCAGGTTCCGGTCGCTATCCACATACTGAAGTTGGTTTATATGCCTTCTAGGTCTTCAAATCTCTTCTCCCTTTCGAGTTTATGAAAGGAAAACATGAGTGAGTTAACGATATTTCTAAAACGTTCCGACGACAACTCTAACGTGCTTAAAAGGTAAACTGAGGCACAATAAAAGTATAAAGAATTGATTTGAGAACACAGCAACTCATGAATTGGATGCTCCAAACCAGAAGTGGCTACCTGGCTCTATCTTTATGTTTAAAATAGATTTCTAGGCCGGCGCCGCGGCTCACTAGGCTAATCCTCCACCTGTGGCGCCGGCACCCCGGGTTCTAGTCCCGGTTGGGGTGCCAGATTCTGTCCCGGTTGCCCCTCTTCCAGGCCAGCTCTCTGCTGTGGCCCGGGAGGGCAGTGGAGGATGGCCCAAGTGCTTGGGCCCTGCACCCCATGGGAGACCAGGAGGAAGCACCTGGCTCCTGGCTTCGGATCAGTGTGGTGTGCCGGCCGTGACAGCCATTTGGGGGGTGAACCAACAGAAGGAAGACCTTTCTCTCTGTCTCTCTCCCTCTCACTGTCTAACTCTGCCTGTCAAAAAATAAAAATTAAAAAAAATGGTTTTCCAGAAAAAATTCACATAGTTGGGTCTTGCATTTTTTTTTCCTTTTAAATCTAATCTAACGATACCTCTCTTAATTGGAGTGCTTAGGCCATTTGGATTTAATATAATCATTGACATGGTTAGGCTTGAATCTGCTATCTTGCTATGTGTTTTCTATTTGCTCTGCTTGTTTTTTTTTATCCATTTTGTCCCTCTTTGCCTGCCTTTATTTGGAATAATAGTGTTATTTTTATGATTTAATTTTATCTCCTCTTTTGAATATTAGACCTCTTTGTCTTAGTTTTTAGTAGTTGTTCTACAGTTTGGAGTATATACTTTATCATAGTAAAGCTTACCTTTAAATAATTGTCGCCTCATGCAAAATGTAGGAACTTGACAACTTTATGCTTCCACTTCCCCCATCCTACCTTCAGTGCTGTTGTTATACACTATGAGGAATAATGTCTGGAGCAGGCATTGTGGTAGAGAAGGCTAAACTGCCTCTTGAAATGCCCACATTGCATACCACAGTGCTGGGTTCGAGTTCCGACTACTCTGGTTTCTGGTCCAGCTTTCTGCTAATATATCCTGGGAAATAGCAGATGATGGCTCATGTGCTTGGGTCCCTGACACCCATGAGGGAGACCCATATGGAGTTCCAGGCTCCTGGCTTTGGCTTCGCCCAGCCATGGACTTTGCGTGCATTTGGGAGTGGATCAGTGGATGGAAGAGACACCTCTCTCCCTCTCTCTCTTTCTCTCTCTCTCTGCCTTCCAAGGAGATAAAAAATAACTAAACACGGACAAAAACAAATTGAAAATGTATAGGCCGGCGCCGCAGCTCACTAGGCTAATCCTCTGCCTAGCGGCGCCGGCACACCGGGTTCTAGTCCCGGTTGGGGCGCCGGATTCTGTCCCGGTTGCCCCCCTTCCAGGCCAGCTCTCTGCTGTGGCCAGGGAGTGCAGTGGAGGATGGCCCAGGTGCTTGGGCCCTGCACCCCATGGGAGACCAGGAAAAGCACCTGGCTCCTGGCTCCTGCCATCGGATCAGCGCGGTGCGCCGGCCGCGGCGGCCATTGGAGGGTGAACCAACGGTAAAGGAAGACCTTTCTCTCTGTCTCTCTCTCTCACTGTCCACTCTGCCTGTCAAAAAATAAAAAAATAAAAAAATAAAAAAAAAACAAATTGAAAATGTATAAATAAAAATGTAATTTTTATTTATCCACATATTAACTGCTTATGATGCTGTTTGTTCATTTCTGTAGATCCAAATTTGTCTCTGGTATCATTTTTCTACCCCTGAACTACTTCATTTATCCTTTTCAAAATATATATATGTATATATATATATATAAGCAATAAATTCTCTTGGCTTTTATCTGAAAAACCCTTATTTTGTCTTTACTTTAGGAAATATGTGTATTGTATTAGCTTCTCATCTCTATAACTAAAGTCTTAACTACGAAGGAAGAGGATTTATTTTGGCTCACAACTTTGGAGGTTCACAGTGCAAGGCGGGATGGCCCCATTGGTCTGACATCTGATAAGTGAGGCGGATGGCAGAATCCATGCAAAGGAGGGATCAAATGATGCACCAGGAAGCAGAAAGAGAGAGAGAGGGAGAGAGAGAGAGAGAACCTTCATCATCTATGTTTATATGGTCTCCTTAGAGAGCCACTGTGATTGGATCCTGGGGGCTCCCCCTGACCAGCCTGATGCAATTGAATCATTCCTCAAAGGCTCTACCTTACCTTCAGATACCATAATCCGATTATGTTTCCACCTTTGGTCCATTAACCATTAACATTAACCCATCAGTCATTAACATAAGACATTGGGCAACAAGCCTTCAACATGTGAGCATTTGGGGGCACCCAAACCAATACCCAGCCCATAGCATAGTTATTTTTTTATATAGAATTCTAGATTGACATATATTTTCCCTCTCAGCTGATTTTAAAAAATCATTTATGTATTATTTTAAAGGCACAGAGAGAGAGAGAGAGATCTTCCAGCTCTAGGTCACTCCTCAAATCACTGCAATAAGCAGTGCTGGGCGAGGCAAAAGTCAGGGCCCAGAACTCAATCCAGGTTTCCCTTGTGGGTGGCAGGGACCCAACTGGGTTTTCATTTGCTGCCTCCCAGGGTGCTCATTAGCAGTAAGCTGAAATTGAAAGAGGAGCTGAGATACGAACTCAGGCACTCTGATGCATGTCCCAATCTGCACTGGTATGCAGATGTCCATGTCCAAGTCATGTCTTTTTTGTTTGTTTTTAAGATCTATTTAGTTATTTGAAAGGCAGAGTTACAGAGAGGCAGAGGCAGAGGCAGAGAGAGAGGAGAGGAGAGAGAGGTCTTCCATCCTCTGGTTCACTCCTAAATGGCCACAATGGCCAGAGCTGAGCTGATTGAAGCCAGGAACCAGGTCTCCCACGTGGGTGCAGGGGCCCAAGGACTTGGGCCATCTTCTACCTCTTTCCCAGGGCATAGCAGAGAGCTGGATCAGAAGAGGAGCAGCTGGGTCTCCAACCGGTGCCCAAATGGGGTGCCAGCACTGCAGACGGTGGCTCTACCCATTGTGCCACAGTGCCGGCCCCTCAAGTCAGGTCTTAACTGTGCCAAACAGTAGTCACTGCCTCCATCCTTGCCTCCCTACTTCAACTCTTTAAAGATGCTATTCAGTTATTGTCTGGTTTCCATAATTTCTAACAAAACATCTTCTATAATTCTCATCTTCGCTCTTCCATCATTCTCATCTCCACCCTTCTGTCTTTCCACTTTTATCTGCTTTAAAATGTTTTAGTTATTTTAGTTTTTTATTTTACTCACTTTTTTTTTTTGTAATTTGAGAAGCAGAAATAGAGTGGAAATGAGAGAGAGAGATCCCATCCACTGCTTCACTCCCCAAATGCCCATAACAGCTGGGGCTGGGCCAGGCTGAAGAGCAGGGAGCTGGGAGCTCAGTCCAGGTTTCCCATGTAGGCAGCAGGAACTCAACTATTTGAGCCATCACTGCTGCCACTCAAAGTCTGCATTAGTAGGAACCTGAGTCAGGAGCTGTAGGCAGATGTTGAACCAGGTGTTCCAGTGTGAGTCGCAGGTGGCGTCCTACCTGCTAGGTTAAAAGTCTGCCCCTGTCATAGTCTATAAACCACTAGCTTTCAGCAGTTTGATTATGATGTGTTTTGGTGTGGCTCTTTTTGTATTTATCTTTCTTGGGGTATATTAAAATTCTGAGAATGTTCGTCTGTACTTCCACCAGATTTGGGAAATTTTGGCCATTAATTCCATTAAACATCTTCTTTGCCTCCTCTGATCGATCGCTTCTTCTGGGATTCCTGTTATACACAGTTACAGCAGTGCCTGAGTCTCTGCTCAGTTTCCCCCCAGCTTTTTTCCTTTCTGCTCTATTTTGGATAGTTCCTACCGCTGCGTCTTCAAATTCACTGTTCTTTTCTCTGTGATGTCTGATATGCTATTCATTCTTTTTTTTTTTTTAGACTTATTTTATTTATTTGAAAGTCAGAGTTACAGGCCGGCGCCGCGGCTCACTAGGCTAATCCTCCGCCTAGCGGCGCCGGCACACCGGGTTCTAGTCCCGGTTGGGGTGCCAGATTCTGTCCCGGTTGCCCCTCTTCCAGGCCAGCTCTCTGCTGTGGCCAGGGAGTGCAGAGGAGGATGGCCCAAGTGCTTGGGCCCTGCACCCCATGGGAGACCAGGATAAGCACCTGGCTCCTGGCTCCTGCCATCGGATCAGTGCAGTGCGCCAGCCGCAGCGCGCCAGCCGTGGCGGCCATTGGAGGGTGAACCAACGGCAAAGGAAGACCTTTCTCTCTGTCTTTCTCTCTCTCACTGTCCACTCTGCCTGTCAAAAAAAAAAAAAAAAAAAAGAGTTACAGAGAGAGGTAGAGACAGAGAGAGAGGTCCTCCATTCGCTGGTTACTCCCTAAATGGCCACAACAGCTGGAGCTGTGCCCATCCAAAGGTAGGAGCCAGGAGCTTCTTCCAGGTCTCTCATGTGGGTGCAGGGGCCCAAGGACTTGGGCCATCTTCTACTGCTATTCCAGGCCATAGCAGAGAGCTGGATCGGAAGAGGAGCAGCCAGGACTAGAACTGGCTCCCAGGCGCTTCAGGCCAGGGCTTTAACCCACTGCGCCACAGCACCGGCCCCATCCGCTAAATTCTACCAGTGTGTTTTCATTTCAGGTACTACATTTTTCATCCGTAGAAGTTCCCCTGATGGCTGGTGTTGCAGCTCACTTGGCTAATCCTCCGCCTGCAGCACTGGCACCCTGGGTTCTAGTACTGGTTGGGGCTCCAGATTCTGTCCCAGTTGCTCCTCTTCCAGTCCAGCTCTCTGCTATGGCCTGGGAGTGCACTGGAGGATGGCCCAAGTGCTTGGGCCCTGCACCCACATGGGAGACCAGGAGGAAGCACCTGGCTCCCAGCTTTGGATTGGCGCAGCGCGCCGGCTGTAGCAGCCATTTGGGGGGGTGAACCAACAGAAAAGGAAGACCTTTCTCTCTGTCTCTGTCTCTCTCTAACTCTGCCTGTCA